GCATGCTTGAGGTTTACTTGGGTCATCTTAGGGATTTGCTTGCTCCAAAACCTTCCTCCAAAGTTTATGCTTCATCAAGATGGTAAAATTCCCTTGCCTGCTTTTTCCATGAGACCAAAGTTTGAAAAAAAAGAGGAGAAATTACAATTTTAGTTGGTTGTTCTGATTATCCATTATTGCACCCAGTGATCCCACTAAGTGGGGTCTGGGGAAGGGATGTGTACGGAAACCATACACCTACTTGGAAAATCACTTCTCGCTATATAGTAAAATGTTGATGAGTGTGGTCTGGCTAAACTCAACTACAGCATTCTGAATATTCAAACGGACGCAAAAGGATCGGTTGATATTGACGGCCTCATGGAAATGGAGTTATCAAACTACACAAAAGCAAAGTGGTGGTATAGTAAGGGGAGACGGGTGAGATCAACTTCATGGACCAATGTCAACGAAGCTTCTAGCAGATCACACTGGTGGGTTTTCTTGAGTTATATTCTTCCATCCCTTCTTTGTGTTAGAGTACATATAAAACGTTTTATGGGTCTTCAACCACAAGTTTGAGTTGGATCCTTGACATTTTGGTGGTGGATTTTGGAGCAGAGGGGCGGGCGATATTTATTTTATTAATTTACTTTTACATCAGAGAGGGATTAGAGTGCATTACTCATTGTGGAAGTTACATTATCTCTCTTAGTTTTGTGTGTGTAGCTTGACAAGGATAACAATATGTCGCACCGATGATGCTACGGGAGGTAAACCCCAAGTGAGCAAACTATGGATGGTGGATCTTGGGGGCAGCGAACGGATACTCAAAACGGGAGCAACTGGCCAAACGCTTGACGAGGGAAGGGCCATTAATCTCTCCCTCTCAGCTCTAGGTGATGTCATTGCAGCCCTAAGAAGAAAGAAAGGCCACGTTCCTTACAGGTTCGTTCACTATTCACATGTTCAAACTTTGGCTACTTTCTTTGTAAAAACTGGAAATTAAGGTGAAAAGAACCGACCCTTTATAATACTTGAAAGCTTCTGGATGGGTTGTGTTATTTTGACCAATCAAATGACAATCTTTTTATTGCAGGAATAGCAAATTGACACAAATTCTCAAGGATTCTCTAGGTATTCTGAGTTGGAACTGTCCTATTTAAAGTTTCTGGTTTTCGGAGTAGCAAACATCTAAATCTCTGCACAAAATTGCTCTTAGGAAATGGTTCCAAGGTTTTGATGTTAGTTCATGCAAGCCCCTGTGAAGAGGACATTGTCGAGACAACATGCTCATTTACTTTTGCAAAGAGGGCAAGGGCTGTGGACTGCAACCGTGATCTCTCACAAGTAACCCTCTTTCTTTTTGTGTTTGTTTATAATAATATATTGAGGCTTCTGTTTATTCTTTTGACACAAAATTTGGGTTTCATATTATGACACTAGGACCCTAGATGCTTCGTTTGGGGCTGCGACCCGGTCCTACAATCCCCATAGACTTCGGTGCCGATTTGTTAAAAAACCTGCTTCATTGTTTGGTCGGGTTCTTTTGACACCGGGTTTGGGTGTCATATTATGACATTAGGGCGCTATTGTGCTTCGTTGAGCTAAGCCCTACTCCTAACCCCTATAAACCCCCTACTGGCGCCGATTTTCGAAATTTAGCAAATCGGTGCCCACATAGGGGGCTGAGGATCTGGGGAAAGAAGTTTGTGGGGGGGGGGGGGGGGGGGNTCCTGTCCCTCTAGTCCAATGGAGCAAGATAGGACTCCCAAATGCCTCAGTGTCATAATAAGATAAGAAGTTTTGGTGTCAAAATAATCGTTCCGTTTATAATAATAATAATAATAATAATACATCGTGAGTGTCACGTGCCATTGTAGGAAGCAAAGAAGAAAAAAGAGAATAAGATTGCAGAGCTTCAAGAGCAAATGGTGGAAGACGAAGAAGAATGCCAAAACCTAAGACACCAGATAGAAAACGCCAAACTTTTGCTAAGCAAAACCAGAAAAACACTCTCAATGATGACTCGCAAGCCTCCCGAGGATGACGAGCAGTGCCACGTCAGCGCACGAGAAGAAGACTTCAGTCAACTCATCAAAAAACCCGAGAAAACAGCCCCGAGAAGGATTGTTTCTGCCAACTCAATGCCTCGGTTCATGACGTCCACTGTGGCGAGTCGCCAAAGAGAAAGCCCAACCGAGAGGCAAATGGACATCAGGCCCAAGACTTTCAGGTATTGGGCCAAAAGTTCGGTCCAAATTCCGCCGGGTTCTCAATCGGTCAGCTATTCCGATCCCCGTTTGAAACATTTCCTAAGAAACACAGAAAAAAAGGAGGGATTATGTGATGACACAAAAAAGGCGTCTGCTCATTCGAATCCCAACGCAAAAGTCGCTGCCGGGCGACATAGACGAAGAATGTCTGATTGCCTCTAAGCTAATGTACACTTGATTGAGGTAATTTCACTACCTTCAGTGTATTCGTCCAGTTTAATTTTTTTTCAATGACCAGACAAACTTTGATTATTAATTAAATAAAAATCGCATTGCATATTGATAAAAAATGATTTCATTAAATTTATCGTGCAAAAAAACTTTCACAATTAACATGCAATGTTTTTTTTATTTAATTGATGATCAAAGTTAGCATAGTTTGACTGGAAAAAAACAGAGTAAATTCACTGGGACAAGAGGAGTATTAGTTTAACACACACTGTGTCGTTTTAAAATTTTCACTTCACCCACTAGTGGTTGGCGAGAGCTACTTTGTTCACCAAAAAGGTGACATCGCCAGAATGGTTTGTCACGGATCTGGTGATGTCACGTCAATGATGGACAGTAAACCCGCTCACGTTTGGTAAGTGGACGGGAGTCAAGTGGCTCGTGGATGATTTGTTTGAAACTGGTCGTAGTTTGGGAGAGGTTTCAGATGATGGGTTAAATTCAAAGTTTCTTTGGAAAAGTGATTTTTGGTTTTTGGTTTTGGTTTGTTGATGAGTGGCTGTAAAATTGGGGAGTGATTTTTTGTTCTTGAGTGCTCTTAGTAGTTTCTATTTTTGTGTTTGGGTAATTTTTTTTTGACTGGGTTTGTTGGGTTCTAACCCATGTTTGATTCTTGTAAATTACATGAAACATTAAGGTACTTTTTTTTTGTTTTTGTTTTAATGTAAGTGTACATGTATTTATTTGAATTTGTTGGTTTTTAATTTTTGAACGTGCACACTTATTTTTTGTTCATTGTGCAAAACATGTATTGTTTTTGAGTGATGAAAAAGTTAAATATGTGTCGTTTAAGTTCTAAAAAATTGATTTTTTTTCCATGTGTGGCTTGTGTTCATGAAGGACGTTTAAGTTTGATGCAAATGGTTAAAATATCTTCTGTTTTATGTTTTTATTTTTACGCATAAAAATTCTACATAACTAGTTTTGTTACGTTACGCGATATTTTTGGTACGGAATTTGGTACTTTCGTTGTATTTGCAACTCCCAATGTAATTCTACAAAAATTGAATGAAATCATACCTCAACAGTTGAAAAAAGACCCGAGTGACTTGGAAACTTTTTTAAAAAAGGAATTAACACATTACTTAGGGGGTGTTTTTTGGTGAGAAGAGCTTCTAACCACTCATGTCTGCGTCGTGCAGACGCGGACAGACATTAGGAACGCGCAGACTGTTTGTTTTTTAGAAGACAAATCACTTAAAAACGTCTTCTAAACATCTTCCTCAAGCAGACATAAACCAACAACTTCTCATCAATTACAATCCATTTCAAAACCTGCCTATCCGCCTCCCTTCTCGATCTCTCCGTCCGGCCCTGTGTGCGACCCTCTACCGCCGGAGTCTCCACCATCGCCAGCGACTCCTCTCTCCCTCCGCCGGCTCCTCATCATCCTCCCCAGCCGTCCACCGTCCGTCTCCCTCCTCCCCAGCCGTTCGTCTCCCTCCGTCGGCTCTCCTCATCCCCGCCTTTTTACATTTTTTGTTGTTAACATTTTGTACAATAGTCAATTTTTTTAATATTTTTTTACATTCTCATCCCTGCCGACAACAATTTGTACAATTTTTTTACAATGTTTTTTTACATTTTTTAAATATCTTTTTTATACAATAGTCAACAATTTGTTGTTAATTGTTGTTTAAGATTGTTGTACTAGTTCAATTCCCGAGCACTGTATGCAAAGTGCGGAAGAAATTATTTGAAAAGTGTGGAATAAATTATTTGAAAAATTGCCGAGCACTTAATGCAAAGTGCGGAATAAATTATTTGAAAAATTGTTATTTTTTGTTATTTTAAAAAATGTTATTGTTATTTTTTTCAGTGTTGTAGAACTCTTGATTAAATTTAAATGTTTAAAAAATATCGATTGCTTTAAAAATCTATTTATTTTTAATTTCAGTTTATTTAAGCAATTTGCAGAAATTAAAAAACAAACAGTCTTCTTCTTGTAGACTGCAGACCTTTGGTCCACCTCTCCTCCTGCAGATGTGTGCAGATGTGGTCTGCAGACTGCATACCTTTTTCTGCCAAAAAACAAACAACACCTTATTGTCTTCAAAATCGTTTTTCATATGATTTGTTTGGAAATCACAAATTCAGTTAGTTTTATCATTTTCGATAATTCTTTTAAATGTAAAAAAATTAATATTGCGATTAGATGATTTATTCAAAACACTGAAAGTAAAAAATTGTTGCCGAACTGTCCAAAATTACCCCAAGGTATCAACGATTTTTTTGATAATGACTCTTAAATCCCATATTATTTTAAATATATTTTGAAGTATTAAGAATTCTCAGGTCTCATATTATTCAAAATACATTTCAGGGTTTTGAAACACCTTCCTATTTAATTTTTATTGGTGAAAATTTTCTAACTCATGATAAAATATCGAAAAAAACATATTGAATATTGATATAAATTTAATATCAATACATTTATTTTTAAATAAAGTTCAAAATATCAAATTTTATAATAAAAAATTATATATAAATAAAAATATTAATAGTTAAAATAGAACACTGTAGATCGTGAAAAGACAAAGGCGAAGATAATTTCAAGAGGAAGATAGTATTTGTATTGTTTAAAAATAAAGGTTTCAATTTAATTTACAAATGGCCCCTAAACCTCTAGAAAAATAACTTAAACCCCCCTTATCCCATTCTTAGGAGCAAACGCAGAGAGTGAATCAGAGCTACATACAATTCCTATATGATTCGTCCCGGAATCGGATCTCTATACGCAGGCTACCGGCAGTGCCGCCACCAGCCACCGCAGCAGCGGCGGCGGATCTCCTCCACGCCGCATCTAGCTTCATGGATGGACAGAGTCAAGGCGATCTTCACGGGCCAGAAGCCCTCCGAGACCTTCAATCTACTATGTATGGCCTCAATGTTCTCTTCGATTTCGTTTTTTTTTTTAAAATATATTCATATGATGAAATGTCATATTGATGAATCGTCAGCGTTCGCGAATGAGCTGAGCAATGCGAGGAAGGTGTCTAATTGGAAGCAGTACGTGGTGGGGAGAAGTAGCGACGCTACCTTCGCGGAGGCTTTTGCTAAGAAAGAGGCCATTCTTCGATGCCTTGGCGGATTTGATAACACTGGAGAGGTTCGTTATCATTCCTGCTGTTTTTTTTTAAATTCTTTCTTCCACTTTCTTTTTTGAGCATTTCCGGAATTAGATCAAGCTGTTTATGAATGATGAATGATTAGACCCAATGCAATCCCCCAAAAGTAGGCTCTTGGAAAACCCATTAGAAAAACACAAAAATAGGGCCGTGGGAGGGAGGGCCTTACCCCTGCTCGGAAGTAGAGAAGCCACTTCTAAGAGACCTCTGGCTCGACCACAGATACATTGACAAAGAAAATCATAGAGTAAGAGCAGAGAGGCATGATGTACATGTGCCAACACTAGCAACTAGACCCAAAACATATAAAACGCATAAGCACCTGCAATAGAGTAGGATGAAAAGCACCAACTTAACCTAGAAACTAAGGCCCGAAGGTCTACCCAATTACTCTAATTATATCTCTCTCAACGTTTCTATTATGAATGACTCGTATATGTGGGAAAAATTATAACCGTATGAGCCCTATCCGTGAAACTTTTAATGGTCAAGAAACTACTATTGTATCAACAACAAAGACTTATCCCACTAGGTGGGGTCGGCTACGTGGATCAAACGAAGCTATTGCGTCTTGTCATGCATCATATATGCAGTGTGATCAGTTATGTGTAGATCACCTATGACCACTTGTCTGTTTTCCATTTGATCTACCCTTCTAACTGGATGCTTTATAGGTCTTCTCTCCACATGTCCAAACCACCTAAGACATGCTTCCACTATCTTTTTCAACAATAGGTGCCACTCCTACTTTTGCTCTCCTATCTTCATCCCTTATTCTATCCATGCGCGTGGCTAGAATAAGAAATGAAGATATGAGTGCAAAAGTTTGAAATTTGAAGGGGAAAAAGAAACTTAGTTGATTCAAGAAAGAAAATGGATGTAGCTGTGGGGCAAACTAGAAAGTAAGTTGAGATTCATAAGATGGGGCACATGGATATATAGATGCTTAGCTAACAACTCCTTATTTCTATAAATGGCTTAAAACATGCTTTCCCTGTTGGATACACACTGATTAGTGATTACTTTGTTTTTTTCGGGCTTGTAGAATCTTCGAAATAGTCAAAAGCAAGAGGCAGCAAAGCTTTGTAAGTGCACAATAGCAGAAGTTGAGAATGCATTGGCAATGTATACGTGGGCGAAAGAAGCACAGAAGAAGATTGAGAGGTTGAAGGAAGAAGGAAAACCCATGCCAAAGAGCATGAGTGAGGTAAAACGTGTGAAGAATCTAAGTTGCACGTGTGCACTCATTTTCTCATTTTGCATGTTGCTTGGCTGGTTCAAACAGTGCACCTATTGTTGAAGGTCCAACATTGTGGACATTGGCGGATCCACAATTCTTGGTTTACTCTCATGCAATGTTGGTTTTATGATGAATTGATGATTGAATTTTGAAGTTTTAACAGATTCAACAGTTAATGGGATCAACTCCTATGGATCTCGCAAGATCAAACTTGGCAAAAAGTGGGCAAATGAGTAGGAATGCTCCCTGCCCATGCGGTTCAAATAAGAGATATAAGAGGTATTTTTTAGATTTACTTTTTTGTCTAGCCGTTAGAGATGATGCCGTCTCTTAAGTGTGCATACTTAGAATTATTTATTTCTTTTCCTGTGAATAGGTGGACACAGTAGTCTCTAAACGTGTTGAAAATAATCTAATCTAGTAAATTGTTTCTTTATAGTAGGGACTACGTAACACTATCAGTTTCGAAAGGGGTCCGCTGTTTCTTTATAGTTGGGACTACTTAACACTATCAGTATCTACTAGTTTCGCACCGCCTACTTGTCCCATTCCTTGGTTTTTGAGTTTTCACATTATAAGACTCATTTGGTTTGCATTCTTCTTTTGGCTAATTCTGATTCTCATAATCAATCAGAATCTGCAATTTAAGGATTACTCCCTATGTCCTATAATTTCTTCCCGCTTTGACTTAGCGTAGAAGTGATTCAAAGAATGCGGACGATATAAATACTTCCTCAAAAGAGAATGGGGCATAACATTTAGGACACCCCAAAAAGGAAAGGGCGGACGAAAGTTATGACATTGGTGTCAAAAGAACCGCACTCATTAGGAAAACAACCATATCTGAAGATTTTTTTCGATTCTTTTTCTTCCACGTTCGTTCGTGAAATAATACTGGTTGGCCATGTGTTCATATGCAGATGCTGTGGGAAGGATTAAGACCAACCGTCCGAAGTCAGTCGTGTGGTTCAGCTGCACATACCCAAGGGGCCCAATGGATTTTGTGAATGAATGAGTAAGGACACAATTTTATACTAATGCAGCTGTGCTGGTTTGTTTTTTTCTTTGCTCTGCAATATTCTCTTTTACCTTATTTCAAAGATTATTCAGATTGTCTGTTTTTGAGTACCACACTGACACGATGTAAGAAGATGGAAAGAGATTGGGACAAAAGTGTTCCTCGAGATCGGTTTGGTCTCGGACCACCGGTAGTCTCATTTGGTACTCTAAACTGTACACCGGTGGTCTTTTGCAAAAAGACTAGACTGAGACTGGACTAAGATTAGTCTCATAATATAACATTAAAATATAAGGTTTACATAAATAAAACTTCTACTTTTGTTTATTATTTTACTAGAAATACATTTATTTTAATAGTATACAACTTAATACTTCATATTCTTTTTAGAATTTTAAAAATATGTCATAGCAAATTCAAAGGTATAAGTTTATACTCAAAAAAATATTTTTTTCTGTTGTATTTAATTTCTATTTTAGAAACATACATTTATGTTGCATAAATACTTTACAAAAAATCAACAAAGTTTAGTAATTGAGGAAATTGGATAAAAAAAAAGTAATATCCAAATTTTTAGCTATCTAGAAAACTAGTAAAAAGTACTCCCTCCGTTCCTCATAGATCTTCTCAATAGCCTTTTTTTTGTCCATAATAGATCTTCTCATTTCATTTTTTAACAATTAAAATATCACAACTACTTCCACTTACTTTATTTATTACACCTCACCCACTTCATTTAATACACTCCACCCATTTTTTATTAATGGTATTATGGTAAACTTTCACCTTTTTCAACTCTTTTTAAAAACTATCAAAAGTTAAAATGAGATCATCTTAGGGGGACGGAGGGAGTAACATTTTAAAAATTATTTAAAATAAAAATTGGACCGGACGAGGATCGGTCTTAGCCAGGCTAGTCCGGATCAATTTTTAAAAAGGACCGCACCAATTCCATCCTAAATACTACCGGTCTTTCTAAAAGACAAGTCTGATCCGACTGATTTGGTCCTTTTGATCATCTCTAGTTGAAACAAGATTTCTTTCTAGGCAAATGAAAGAGTTGGAATAATGTGGTATCATTCGTACTACATGGTTGGATTTTTCATGGCGTGTTTGTTATAAAGTGGTCGGTCCATTACTGCCTTAATATTGGGACCAGCCCAGCCCATATGTATTAATGGGTTAGACTCAATATACCCAACGTATTTTATTGTTAATAAGTACTTCCTCCTCTCTTTTGCAACTTCTCATTAAATTTTGTTACCATCTTCCGTGCAATATTTTGATAATTAATATCTTTATTTATAGATCATCTCGGTTCCCATGACATTGGTTCTGGATGACCCGGGGACGTTCCGGTGCCCCGTTCGTAAAATTGACGGTTCCTACCCTCCCTAATCCCCCGGTAAACCCCTCTGCCCCGACCCAAACACACCCCCCCACCCCTTTCAATTGCACCCCACAAGTCGATTTTGACTTTGGAGTCAAACTTTGACACCAAAGTCATGGGAACCTTTCTCTTTATAGATAGACATTTATTAAGAAATATCATATTTCAAAATGAATTTATTGATATCAAATTTATATCAGAATTTAATTTATTTTTTCTATAATATGTAGTCAATATTTTGAAAAAAGCAAAGTGAGTTAGAGCACAAAAACACCCTTCAAATTAGTGTTCACAATTTACTTGTCTTTCCCAGTCATAATTTTTTTTAGAACTTTTACTTGTCTTTCTTGGTCGTAATTAATTCTTCACCCGATATTCATGTCCTAACATTCATGCTTCGTTTATCGAGCAAAACATTTTCTGTTCTAACTTTTGGGAGGAGAATAAAGTGAAATCACGTCAATTAAAACGATTAGAGCTCAAAAATGTCAAACTGGATAGGGGCGCTAGGGGCGCTGGAGGGGATTTGGGGAGTTAAGAAGTAAAAACCATCAATTTTAATAACAAAACATTGTAGGTACAAGTGTCAAAATATGACTCGTTTTGAGGATCAAAAGAACCGAGGTGACAAAAATTACACCAAAAGTTCTATCAAATGACTTGTGAAAAATGACTTCTGAAAATAAGTAATTTTCCAGAAGATGTTTTCCTTTTTGGATATTTGGGTGAACCAATGAACATTCCTTATTTTTTTGGTTCATTTTCCAGAAAATGAACAATCTGTATTTATTTGGAAGCAAAAATCGAACCAAAGCCAACAAAATTAATTAATTAATTACCCAAAATTAGACATGCCCACGATGGAATCCTTGAAGAAAATGAGAACCAAGCATGATCCAAAGGTACCATGGGGGCATCCCACACAAGGTGAAACTATTAAAGAAAAAGAAATTAGGACTTAACCAACATGATGTTTTCATTCCCAAAGGGGCAAAACTCATACTCCCTTCATCCTGAGAAAATTTCCCTTTCGCTTTTTGTTCCTTCAAAGAAAGTTTTCACTTTCTATCAAAAAGTCATATTTACTTCTAGTAATTCTGATCCAACCTATCAGATCATATCTTTTTAGTACTAATCTACCAATCGCATTTAGGGATATGATTTTTTGGAAAATGCAAAACAAAAAAGTATCTACTTTAAATTTCATAAAAATCAAAACAAAAAAGAGAATTTTGGGTAGATAGAGTAGTAGTATGCCTTACCAGTTAGGCAGTTACCGTTGCACCGTTGCCACAAGCATGATCAATTTACAGCTAGCTGCTGATGCTGCTTGTAGCCAAAACATTCACAGTTTCACACAGCTAATATCAACACTTTGGAGCAGATCCTTAATTGTATCACTCAGTAGAGTAAATTCTATATATATTTTTTCAAAAGAGGGGTTCTTGTGGCGCGCCTATGACATAATAGGACACCCAAACATTTGAGAGCCCTAAGGTATTCCGTTCGACCCCGAAATGATTCTTGCCCCCCCCCAACACCCCACACACAACTATTGTAGCGTAACGACGACCCTTGGGAGAAGGGGGCGAGTTGGGAGATGTTTGTATGGGGTGAGGAGGTAGGAACCACTTCAGGGATGGACAAAACACCATAAGACCCTGAAATGGGCCAGTTGAACATATTTACTTTGTAAACAATCACCCTATTTGTATTCATTTATGTTAACTAGAAAATCTTGTTTTTTATAATTATATGTAGATTACACACAATTAATAACTACAGAAATGCATAACCGTTTATTACTAAAAAAATATACTTGGTAATAAATATAAGCGAGTGATTGTTTAAAAATAAATATAATTTTAAATATATTATTTATAGCCTATTTTCTGCTAAGCATATGATGCAGAAAATGACCCCTCCACTAAAAAGAATACATGGTGCCATTATTTACAGTGTGGTTTGCAAGAAGACATATATCAAGGTGTAGAATTTACAGATATTTGCTGGGTCAAAGGCGAGTTCGGCTGGTCCACATGTGAAGGGATGACAAGACGCTGCAACGGCCTTAATGCCACTGTTAACTCTGCAAACGACGGTCGTAAATTTGGATCCCTGGTAAAGAAAAAGATATCAAAATTAGCTCTGATATAAAAAAAAGTCATTCAGAATTACAGAGTACTTTGTAAAACTAAACAGTACAATGAAAACACAAAGTGAATTACAATAAAACATTGACCCCATTCGGAAACCAATGTGTCATAGCTACTCTTTTTTTTTCGAGTCAAATTGGATGAACTTTGACCATCAATTACGTAAAAATTGCATTGCATACTAATACAATGAAATACTCCATAATTTTTTGAAAGTTCTAGCAAGAAAAATATAAAGAAAACATCTTGGTACTAATATGCAATGCAATTTTTATATAATTGATGATCAAACTTCATTGCCTTTGACAGCGAAAAAGTCAAAGAGAACGAATACTTTGGGACAAGTGTAGTATTTGGGTAGTCATTCGAAAAAGTTCAGTATTTGTGTAGCTATTTCAAAAAGTTTGAAAAAGAAGCTTTTGGTAAACCAAGCTTGAATAACAGCTCCAAAAAGCTCCAGCCTGCTCCAAAAATCATAAAAACGGTTTTTTTGCACACTTTTTTGAGACTAAAAAGCTCTTTTCCGAGTTCTCCTAAACGATGTCCTTCAATCCAAAATCTCCTGTTTTTTTAATAAAAAGCTCCCAAAAACTCTCATTAATTAAATGTGTAACTCTGAAAACAGTATGCTACTTTCTAAATGTGTGTAGGTTAGAAAAACCAGATGCATAAATATTGAATATGAAGAAGCAACTATGATGGTAGTGCATAATACTCACATCTGCCAGCATTCCCATATTATCCTTGCCACGAGGGGATCAAGTTCTTTAGGGATTTCAAGACGTCGATTCTGGAAACCAACAGCACCCACAACTTGCATAGGATTCATCCCACTCCATGGTAATCTCATTGTTGCAAGTTCCCAGAGAATAACACCAAAGCTATAAACATCACACCTAATGAAGCAGAAATTTGATAAATGTAAATTACACTCCCAATGAATATTCTGTCCATCACATAAAAAGACTTATGTTTCTAAATTATTTTTGTTCACCGTTATGTTTCTAAATCAATTTTGCCCCTCCACAGAATTCAATTTGAACAAAAGATGTATATTTTCAGTATTTATTAAAAACTTGTCTAGATATAGTCAAACCAAAAAGTATATTTTGAAATATAGCTATATTCAATTATTTCTAATTGCTGTACCTTACTAATAATAGAATGTTATAGGTTTATAAAACATGACTCTTGTTATGAAACAGGGGTAGTAGTTTAAATCCATATCGCACCAATATGGGAATGTGAAGATGTGTGCCTATATGACAAACAGCAGCAGTAGTATTGGTGGGTAATAGGTTTTAGTTGTGACATCAACCAAACACCATTAACCCACATTCCTAAGATAGACTAGACATTCACATTTTGAAACTGTATTATAAAGCTGGTCAACATCACATCCATAGTCAACCACCACGTGGAAATATTCCCTAGTTCATGGCCTCGTTTGGATTGGCTTTCAGTTTGAGGAATTCCCTCATTCCTGGGAATGTGGTGAGATGCCCACTTGGATAAGGAAACCCCAAAACTAAAGCAACTTTTAGGCTTGCTCATTTCCTAAATGTGGGGCATCACATGCTTCCAAGTCACTAACACTATGTTTGGTTCAAGGAATTTGAAAGGGAAAAGAAAAAAAAGAAAATGATATGGAAAACAAGTTTTCTTGTTAGGTTAGAAAGGAAAGGAAAAGAAAACATAAATGAGAAAAGAAAATGAGAGGAAAAAATTAACTGATAAGAAGGTAAACAAAATTCCTTCCATTTTGGTGAGGAGAAGGAGAGAAACCTTTTTGTTTTCCTTTCTTTTCCAGTTCCTTGAACCAAACATACTGTATGGGCTCCTGAGTAATTCTAGGGAATTGGATGAATTCCTAGCATTCAAACCTTATCTAATAAGTAATTCCTCATAGTCCATTTCTCAATAATCCAAATGAGCCCGCAATGTTGCACATTATCATGCATTCATGCCATGGACACCTAACTAAAGAGTAACAACAATTGAATCAGCATCAAACCTGGAAGGATAGAGTAAATGAGTAATTTAAACTCACTTTTCATTTGAAGGTTCATTACGTAGAACTTCAGGAGCCATCCACTCGGGCTACAAGAGCAAGAGAAAAGAAGACATGAACAAAAAGATTTGTAGCATGGATACAAAGAATGAAAAGCACTTCATCAAATAAAAACACATCGGAAATCTTACTGTTCCAGCGGTAGATTTGGATGACAAGAAAGTGTTGTGCTTTAAACGTGACAAACCAAAGTCACATACCTGCATTGTAGGCTTTGGAATTACCATATGAGCAAAAAAACAGCTTATATAAAGGTGTCTTGATGAAACCCACACGACATTGTGGAGGAGTTTGGTTCATGTAATCTCACATACCTTGGTAATGTGATATTACCTTGTTTAGTTCAGGTTTTCATTTTACCTAAAAGTAGGGAAAGAGGTTTCTTAGATAATCAATTACTTCAGTAGTTCCTTAGCATTTTAGATAATCCCCGATTGTCCATTACACTTCAAATAAATAAGTGATATCACATTCTGTAAACCAAACAGCTCGAGGTAATCTTTTGTCCCCGTAATCCTAATTACCTTCCAAGAGGTGATCCCATTATTCAAGGTAGTCATACATTCCGTGAAACAAACATCCCCTATGTATAACTCAAGGCATCGACAAACACCAACAAGTGAAACTATATACCTTCACATTCCAATCATTATCAACCAATAGATTAGGAGATTTTAGATCACGATGAACAATAGTTGGTGTGCTTGTATGCAAGCAATTCATACCCATTGCCTGCACGGAGTACATCTAATTTAAACTATTTGTACAAGAAAGACCAGACAATAGAATTATAGAAGTATCTCAGGTGGTTAGAGGAAGACCGGAACACTAATCTTTTACCACATCAAGAGCCATTTTGATTCTGCGCTTCTCATCTACTTGAGAGTGAGGACGATGGATTATCCGGAAAAGACTTCCTCTGTAAAAAAAAAAAATAATAATAATAGTAAGACCAACCCAGTTGGTAGTCTTAGTTGAAGCAGAGCCACATATACATACTACCTCCGTCCCAAAAACCAACAACTCATGTTTGACCAATTCATAATTTCTTAATTTTGTTTAGTTTGAACATTAATCATGAATGTTAACATAACTAAATTTATCATATATCTTGTTGGCGACTATTGAATGACAGTATTTCGAAAAAGTACATGCAATATTAGCTTAGTTTAATCAAACAGAACTTTTTTGTTTGGACAAAGGTATGAAACATGACTATCTAGGGGCGCACGCCGGGTGAGAAACATGACTAGAACACATAAAAGCAAACATTCAAAAGCCTAATTTAGGTTTTAAATTAGACTGTTTCTCAAAAATGAGTTATCAACACAATGGCGAGGATTCCCTTTGAAATACAAGCTATCAAGCTTCTGCTTTAAGGGTTCAGCCTTTTATAGGCCAGGGCAAGATCTGCATACCAACCCCTCTTCATACCCCATTTGTGGAACTTTTGTTGCTGTTGTTAGCTAAACCTACACCCCAATACCCTAGTAAACTATGTTGCATTTAAAAACGTGAAAATACCGGGGAAGAAACTCAGTGATAATAGAAAGATTTGGAGGCCGGGTTACTGCTCCCATGAAAAGAACTACATTTGGATGGCGTAAACGTTGCATGATCCGCACCTGCCATAAATATGGTCTTAAATTAAGAACTATACTCAATTAGTTTATGTTTTTAAAAGAAAGGAAAAGATTATAGCATGATGGATGAAATAATGAGGATCAATCCTTAAATATCTTGGAGTTACATGGCGAAAAAATTGGAAACAAGACAAAAATAGGCAGGCAAGAACCACATACTTCTCTCTTAAACTCAGCTAAAGCAGCACCTGAAAAATCCTGATCGAGGAACTTCTTGACAGCAACCTCCTGTTCTTTTAAATAATCCAGAAAACAAAATAATAAACATAATTTCACAATTGAGAGATGTTAAGTATAAGAAAAATCACATGATATTAAACTTACAGTGCCATTCCAATCAGCGCGGTATACTTCTCCATAAGAACCTGAATACATACAGGGAATATACATAAAACTTATAAAACAGCATTATAAAACACACCCACACCCAGAGGTGATTACTGTAGCAGGTATTCTAAAAAACAATAGAAAAGCTGTTGATTGATATCTACAAGCATTATGGCTGTTCCATTCATAAAATATAATTGTGGTTCAAGCTCTAGTTTTCATTCCAGAGAGATTAAGCCATTTGGAGAAGTCATGTGAAACTATATGGTCTAAATGGTATTTGGAAAGGAAAAGTACATAAAAATGCCATCTTTGCCACTAGGTAAACTGAAAATTGGCTTTGTCACATCGCTTCCTATTCTGAACAAAATGAGAGCACCCAAAAAGGAGACACAAAAAAGGTAAGAGTTAAAAGAAATACTTAAAATGAAAATGGAATTAAGTCCTATTTTTGTTGATGGTTAAGTTATTTAGGTTAAGTCTTTGTTGGAGGTGGTGGTGGTGGCAGCGGATGTGCTTTAAAACCCAAAGTTAGTTAGGTTAAGGCTTTGTTATTGTTTTTTGTGGTTGATGTGATTTAAAGCTACTTGATAGAGGGAAAAGAAACAAACAAGCACTCACACCCACACACAAAATTGTACTAAAAAAACACAGATTCTTTTCCAAAGATCAGGCTGATAATTCAGGAATACAAGCACATAGTTCAACAAAGTAAAAGTTTCAATGCCAGACTGCAGTCCTTTTATGACACCTGAAAGAACCCATTTGTCAAATGCCGAGAAAGGGAAATTACCTAGCCCGATCCTTTCGCCAATAACAAGATCTTCCCATGGGATTTCACATTCATTCACATCATCCAATACTTGATTGATCTGGGATGGACTTAACCATGTTGAAGTATTTGAGTATTGAGGTTCCTTCAATCTTAAATTCTTCCCTGCTAATTTATGTTGGGTGATCTTTTTGCCATCATTCTGCATAGTAATCTCATTTACATGAGCTCTGGTTGTTTCTGTGTCATTACTTTCCAAAACATTGCCTTCCCTTTGATGTGTTTGCTTAAGATCACTGATCTTATTGTCTTCAATAGAAAATTTCCTAAATTCAAATTGAGTCGATGCCAACATCAGAGGGGTATCAGCTCCAGAAGCAGTGTCATTGTTCTCCCTGTAGACATTATATGCTTTACCAGGCATCCTCGAGCTATCAGAGATAACTTTCTGCTGTGTAGTTGCGCTGGAAGGTGTCATTGTTGATGAATTATAAATATTTGCACCACGGTTGATCCTTGGTGATATTTCTGGAACTTCATTGCATGCATAACGATTTTTCCAATTCATGGGGACAGGAGGCTTACCTGCCACATTATTTTTTGGAAACTGCAGTCCATTGACTGCGGTTCTAGAAGGGTTATTCTGAACCAAGCCAGATCCTTTAACTTGAAACGGGTTGAGATCAGCAAAAAGGTTTTTTGGATCATCACTATATGGAACATTCACATTCACCCTTGAACCATCACTAGCGGCATTAGGTCCACGACCTCCTTTGTATAACGACTTCCCAATGACCAATGATGGGATTTGATCCAACTGGTTAGAGGGAGAAACTCTGTTACTTAATCCTGATGAACCAGCTCCAACATTTGTATCTGATAACAAAGAATTGGATTCCTGCCTTGCTGGCCTCGCAGCATTAGAAATATCATTTTCTATTGAAGATTTCTTATCATCCAATGAATAGGGCACAGAGCTTGAACCAATTATTGACTGGGCATTGGGAAGGTTATATGGCTTGAAAGAAGTATCCTTCCCCCCAAGAACTTCAGCTGGTATAAGTGTCCCAGGTGCACCCATAAGATCAACCAAAAACTCACTGGCAAAAACAAACACCAATTATGTACAGTAAAACATATAGCAATACAGTACACAAGATACAACAACAAAGTGTATATCTTGAAAAGATAACATGTAGACATTTGACACATCATGCATGTGATTTTACTCCCTGGTCCCTCTATCCCGAATTAATCTTGTTTTCTTTTCGGCCTATCCCAAAATAATATATGTTTCATTTTAATTGATGATAGAACTGTGTGGTTGACGTTGTTTCTTCACCTTCTATCAACCACAGAATTTCATTTTCTTATTAAGCATGCCAAGCCAAAACATTAAGGGGCTGTTTGGCAACTTCTGAATGGGTAAGTGCTGAACCAGTAAGAGGTTTGAATCATTAAATGCTGAACCAGTAAGAGGTCTGAACCATTAAGAGCTAGTATATTGCTTAACTATTCAGAGGCAAATGTCTGATCAATTCAGATAACAGCTCTTAACCATTCAGACTCTGTATAATACTTAACCATTCAGAGGCAAATCTCTTAACCATTCAGACATCTGAACCATTAAGAGGCTGAAACAAACAGTCTGAACCATTAAGTGCTGAATCATTCAGACATCTGAACCATTAAGAGGCTGAAACAAACAGCCCCTAAGATTAATTTTGGATGGTAGGAGAATAAAACAAACAGGTGTGCAGATATCTAAGATTGCATCTCAGAAACATTAAAGAGATCTGCTGCAACAAATATAGAATTCCCTTGTGGCATACAAGTTTTTGGCGAAGTGACATTGGGAAGCACTAAACAATACAAGATATTCCTACAATCCTACATGAGCATGGTTGGATCTATAACAAATCTAGGCAGACTCTAAAATTTCAATGATAAACATAAAATAGGAATGCTAGAGCCTTATAGGTTAGGAAAAGAATCACAGAATCAATGTAACAGACACCAAAAGGTAATGAAAATGGTTTAAAAATCATGGTAAAACTTATTCGTGTGCAGTACTTAGTAGATGAATGCAAAAAATGATGTTGCAGAACATGAGCACATGAGATTTGCAAACTACCTCCCATTAGGTAACTTTATGATGTTGATAGCATCATCCTCAACACCTGTGTAACCTTTAACTAATCTACAAGGAATTCCAACATGGTCGGCCAAAACCTACAGTTAAGAAAGAGCAAAGCATTGAAAAATGAAAATTGGGCTGTACTATAGACCAATCTGTATGCAATAGCCTCTGAGGATAAATGACAGGTTTACGGGTTTAGTAACCAGATAAGCAGTTTGAGTTTGGTTCTCACCAAGGACCAAACTTAATTTCAATCTAATTGTGAGGAACAACCCAGAGCAGTTGGCCTTTACCCTGGAACTGGCTACTTACGAAAATGTCTCCATCATAATTTAGCTGGTCCCTTTAAATAAACTACATACATTATAATATTATATGTGTGGTCTTTGTGAGCTTCTAACTATCCCAATTTGTGCATTAACCTTTGTTTGTCCAGCAATAAATCCTAATACATTAGATTTTATACAAAATAGCCACAGAATCTTTTAGTTATATAGTAACAAGACTAATAAGCAAGGGTGTATATAGAGGCAGTGTGGGCAGCTTCCGCACCTGGATTTTTCATGTCGTTTAGGTTTTTTTTAATCAAAATGACAACTTAGTATATTTTTGTTCATTTATACTACATACTTCCTCTGTTTCCCCAAATTAATTCAATGCTCTCTATTTTTTGTTGCAAAATACACTTTACACTTCTCAGTTCTCACGTTTCATGAAAGAAAAAAATATGTGGCTCATGACATTTCTCTCTCTTTTGATCAAATTCCAACCACACTTTTCAATAGTCAACACTTTTATTGAACTCAGGGGACAACAACTATAATTTAGGGAGGAGGGAGTATGTGTTAATCAATTCAAATTGGTATCAGCATGAAATATATGTATTCTTGTTCATTGTTTCCTAGCAGATATCGCTTTCTTTAAAAAATTGAGAACACTATCCTGGAACCCCCAGTACACCCCCGTCAGCACCTGAATTCTTTGATACGCCAGTGCCAATTTGGAGATCAAAACTATAGTAGCACTAGCTCTAATCCCTATTTGGAAACAACGTTCTAAATTAGTGTTAGCTTTTTGGATAATTCTTTAATGGTGCACATTAATTTTGAAAGCGCTAACACTATGTTTGGTTCAAGGAATTTGGAAGTATAAGAAAAGAAAATGAATCTCTCTTTTTCCTCACCAAAATGGGAGAGATTAGGTTTTCCCTCCTCTCAGTAATTTTTCCTTCTCATTTTCTTTTCCTTCCACTTATCTTTTCTTTTCCTCTCGAACCAAACATAAAAAAATGTTTTTTTCTCTCATTTTCATTTCTTTGCCCTTTCAGATTCCTTGAACCAAACATAGTGTAAAGCTAAGCACTATCGTTAGATAGCCTTTTCAAAAGGCTAAAGCGAAACGCTTAAGTTGTTGCCAAACAAGCACTTAATCAAAATAAAGTACTTACTTTGAACATCAATGCACGATGACGTGACAACCCAATATTTAGTGATCCAAGAGGCAGCACGCTGGTTTGAAGAGAAGTTCTCAACTCTGTACTTCTTTCCATCCATCTAGTCAGTATGATACTAGTATCCTTCACCGGCCCACCAAACTGTTCTATTACCAGTTCAGCAAGCCTCTGAACTAGCAGACCAATCTCATCTTTGGCGGAGTCTAATGTGATGCAATGTGCAATCTGCACAAGCTCCTCCAGTGAGGGGTCAATCTTTTTATTCACTATCACAACTTCAAAGTTAGAACTTCCAGCATTTGTTTCAAGTTCCGAAAGAGATGGCATCTTCCCTCGGCTTGCAGGACTCGAAAAAAGGCTATGTACATCATAGAAACCATCAACAACTTTTTCCTCGTAATCAAGCGTGTTGTAATCCTAATGATTAAAAAAATGAAGTTGTAAACAAATGGCAACAGATTCAATCATTCAAGTAGATCATGCATGTATGTCACTCCTGCTAACAATCACTTGCTCAGAATCATACTTGGGATAACTTGCAATACGGAGTATTTAATACTCCATGGTACAAAGTTGAGAGTCCCTAGCCCATTTTCATTCTAGTGTGTACCTGTTGGAAGTGCACAATGCACATAGCCACATACTAGATTTCTCCCCAATATTTTGCATATACAATGTCAATTAATAATAGATATTTTCCTCTAGTAAATGAATCTCAGAGAATCCAGTCTCCACTAGGATTCAATCCCATCAATTAACTACATTTCTCTGCATTATTTAGCCTATGGACTCCAAAATTCTCATAATAAAAAGTTCTCAATTGTTACTAATTGTGTTCCTCTGGTAAATCTCAGAGCATCCAGTCTCCACTGAGCTTCAATCCCTAAAAAGTACGGAGCAACTGATAAGCTTAAACCATATAGTTACCTAGAGAGATTAAGCACTCACCCAATAGTGCCTCGACTGCAAATCCGCAGCAGCTTCCTCCCTATCACGGGCCGACTCAGCACCGTACCTCGCTCCAACGAGGATCTGACCTTTTCCGGAGTCAACATCGCACCGAAAAGGCTCCTCCGCCTGAGACGAGGAAACACTGAGCGCTAGCGCTAGCTGAATCTGGTAATCCTCCTCGGATGCGTAGTAATCGTGCTGCCGGCTGACGGACGGCGTTCCTACACCGGAAACCTGCGCGGGAACGGCGGGAGTCGCCGACGCCGTCGATGGACTCTGCGAGGCGCAGTGACCGGAGGAAGACGCGGGCGACGATGGCGACGTCAACGCAGAAGAAGAGGAAGAAGAAGAAGAAGACGGCTGAGGAGTCTCGTTGTTCGATCGGTTGGGGTGGTGAGTCTTCTTCTTGAAGATGTTCTTCATAGCTGGTTTCGCTTTGTTTCACTCGCTCTGTCAAACTCCGCATGTACTTCGGGGCCGGGGGCATATACGACTGACACATGCGTCACCTCTTGCTTGCTAAATGTTAAAAACTTCAAATCAAATGAGATTTATGTGTCACCTAAGATGGAGTGAAACAAAATTGTGAACGTCTAAAATGACACCAATTACTTATACATCAGTTGCTTTCATCAATTTATTTATGATATCTACGGTGCTCCATTGGTAAAAACGACGATTCCTACACCCCTAAATCCCCCACCCTTGCCCCCCACCCCCGCCCCCTCTCTACCCTTGCAGTGGGGCTCGGGTGGGGGGTTTAGGGAGAGGGTTAGGGGTAGGAACCGTCGTTTTTACAAACGGATCACCGTAGGCATCTCAAACGAACTAGTGTAAGCAAATGATCATTTTAGACTTGCCGAACAAAATTATACTCAAAATTTACTTAAAAAAATCTTCAGTGATATTGCACAAATAAAGTGTACAAAAATATTTATTTTATCAAATAATCAATAAAAATATATAAATAAATAAAAAAAATCATATTTTTAATTTGAATAGTGAACTCTAACCTTCTTTTTTGTATAGAAGTAGCATGTAATACTCACAGCATCTCAAACTATGACAAATGGCTTTCTATATGCTATAATGTGAGTAGCCAAACAAAACTCTATGATCCAATGGGCTTGTCGAATTTTGACAAACATGCTGCAAATGAAAATGAGTTACTATTAATAACAAGAATAAAAATAAAATATTATTTTACTTTTTATCATAAAATATTTTATTTTATTTTTTGCAAAAAAAAATAGTTTAATTTTTTGTTTTTGAATTGCATATTTACATGGTACTCTATATTATTTAATTTTTATAATATAAAATAATGAACTTCAAAATTTATTATAACTAAAGTAATATAATGTACGTACTCTGCAAGTGCTAGCTAAATTATAGAAGGGAAGATTGGAGATGATAATACACAATGGCTTGTTATACTACTGTTTGTATGCTAAAATTGACTTTAGCAAGCCATGCTTGACAAGTGTGGTTGGAGTTTCTCTAAAAATATTTTTAAAAAACCATCTATTACCTAAAATGCTCTATAATATAAAAATCAACATTATTATGATTATGTTCTTTTAACAAGTGTTTGACAAAAATAAGTAAAGAAAAAGATAACAAGTAGATACTAGACTAGAATAATATTTTTTAAAAAAAAGTGGGAGTAAAAAATTAGATCATGTTTATTTTTTTTCAAATTAAAAGTATAAAAAGTGAAAACAAATATTTCATATTTTTTTGGGGCTAATTTTTATTTTTTGATTGTGGGCACACAATATTTTTTATTGACGGCATTCTTTTAATTTAAAAAAATTTACACTCATATTTGGCCTTTATCAACAACAAAATCATAGAAAGTGTCAAATGTCAACAAGTTTCATGCGATTATTGAGATTTATAGTACTGAAAATTACAATATTAGATTCATTACATTTGTAAAAACATGATTTGAGAACGATAACATGTCATAGTGTGTGAGTTTAGCTTATCAGAATCCTTCAATCTGATGAGTTCATGCATGATATGAATAATCTTGTTTACAAGAAACTAAATATCTAAATAAGTGAGAATAAGATATTAGAGACTATCATCTATAAATCTTAAAAATAATGTGTATAACTTTCAAACACCTCATACTCACTTTGGTGCTCACGACCATGCTCTACAGTGCCCCACTGACTTTTTAATGTGTGTTGTGCATACATCCCAATATGCATAATAGTTATGTGTGTCATCTCAAAATTATTGATTCTCCACTAAACAATATAATGACTTTAAGATATTTGATTCGAGCTTCAGCGCAGAGATTGTGAAGAAGCATTCAAATGCTTTTAAGTTGTATTTCCAAATGCTATTGTAATCATTCCAAAAACTAAATTAGAATAAATTTTATAAACAAGTAGGATTTTAAATTGTTTTATTCTAATAATCTCAACTTCATTCGAATTGTACATATATGATCTCAACGTAAAAGTGTTGGTATGAGAATGTTTTATATAGGATCGACACATAGTACAACCGAAAGTGTGTCAACCAAATTATGAGTATGACATTTTTGATCTTGCTTCATACGGAGTATTTCTCAATAATTTTTAAGGAATAAACATATATAATATAAAATGAAACTGTTATACATTATTCTAAAAAATAGAATAATCAAAGTTTCTGCTTTATTTTAAACTATCAATGAAAAGTAAGATCAAGTTCAATTTTAATATATGCAATTGAATGATTTTAAAATATTTCTATTATAATCACTCCTAAATTAGGTACGTTATACATTTACATCTCTTACATTATCATTTTGAAGATGAAATAACATACAATAATCAATGATTCGTTAGCACTTTTTTATGATAAATCATTATTTGTTCGTGAGGGAACATTAACACGACACCACATTCAGTTTGGGACTAATAATGTTTAATTATATACTTGGTATTAGTATTCTATACATTCCAAAAAAAGAATACTTTTTTGTCAAAGAACTATTTATGTTATGAAAATTTTATGTGGTTTTTAAATAACTAATTTTTATTTTTGTATTTCATATCATTTTTATTATATATTCCGCATTGAATTAAAATAATTTTGGTAAACATTACAACTTGAAACAAATTTTTTAAAGGTTGAAGAGGGTAACATAAAAAATACAAGTTTTAGGTTATTGTCAATCTTTTTCCAAAAATATATTTCATCCGTTTGGAATTAATTATTTTATTTGTCTAAAAATTATTTTCTCATTTATTATTTATAGAGTCAAATTTTACTCCCTCCGTCCTAGCACTATTCCAACTTCACTGGAATTTATATTTATTTGTGTTTTTTCATGGCCTATATGATAAAATAAAATATTCTTGTCACCACTTGTTTTGTTGAACTTTTGATGTAGTTTTTAAATATGTATGTTTTATTTTTTATTTCTATACCAATATTTAAATAAAATAGATTGAAAAAACTTGGTATTTTTTTTCGTTTTGCGCAACGGGAAGAAAGTTTTAGGACGGAGGGAGTATTTACTTTATTAGTTTATTTTCGTTTTTTATTTGATTTATTTTATGTCACTTCCAATTTAATTAATTTTTGAAGTAATTTTAAAATATACTCCCTCCGTCCCAAATTATTTGTCACATTTCTATTACTGAGGTAAAATATCAAGTTTTTTCAATTCATTTTATTTATATATTGGTAAAGAAATAAAAAATAAAAATTACATATCAAAAAACTACATGAAAAGTTCTTCGAAATAAGAGGTGTCAAGAATATTTTATTTTATGAAATAACTAATGAAAACGTAGAAATAAACAAAAGTTCCCGCGACTGTTGAAAAAGCATATGTGATAAATAATTTGGGACGGAGAAAGTATAATTTTATTTTGTAATTCAATCATTTTTCGTATAAAATAATTTAAAAATAAATAATGTTATAATAATTCTTGGACAAGCACTAAAACCTTATGTTTGATTGCTAAATTCCACATTCACTGTGTGCGACGGCCAGTGTTTCATGGATGAACGCCACGGCCGCCAGATGCCTCGCCGGAAGGTTAAACCGACCTTTTCCTCATTTCATCTTTCCCATTAGAGCATTCTATGGGAACTCACTTTCTCCACCACCCCAAGCGAAGAATCCATTCCTGGACAACGCAGTGAGCATAAGCCTTCAACTTTCATATTGTGGGAAAGAGGGAAATCTTCGTCTGGGAAACTGCATTCACGCATTCACTATCAGGACCCCAGTACTCGCTGATTTGTATAGCCAAAACTCCATTCGAGTTTTGAACTCTATCCTCGCAATGTACGCCAGGTGCGGCGAGTTACATGACGCAGTCAAGGTGTTTGAGAATATGCCTGTGAGAGACACGGTCTCGTGGAACTCAATGATTTCGGGTTTTATAAGAAATGGGGAGCTTGAAATGGGATTTGAGTATTTTAAGGATTTGATGACTTTGGGGGTTGGCTTGTTTGATCATGCTAGTTTGACTACCATTTTGTCAGCCTGTGACAAGGCTCAACTTCTTTCTGTTATCAGGATGGTACATGGATTGGTGTTCTTGAGTGGTTATGAGATGGTGGTTTCGGTGGGGAATGCTTTGGTCACTGCTTATTTTCGGTGCAGGTGTTTAGACTCGGGGATGCGAGTTTTTAATGAGATGGTTGAGAAGAACGTTATCACTTGGACAGCTGTTATATCCGGGCTTGCACAAAATGAGTTTTGTGAGGAAAGTTTGAGACTTTTTGATGAGTTTCGGAGGGAATCTGTTGTCCCTAATCACCTGACATATCTGAGCGCATTATTGGCATGCAGTGGCATCCAAGCCCTCATGAAAGGCAAGCAGATTCATGCAATTGTTTTGAAATTGGGGTTTCAGCCAAATCCGTCCATGGAGAGTGCACTCATGGATATGTATTCAAAATGTGGCATTGTAGAGGATGTTTGGCGGATATTTGAGTCTGCTGAGGTGCTTGACATTGTCTCTTTGACAGTCATCCTTGTAGGTTTTGTCCAAAATGGATTCGAAAAAGATGCTCTGCAAATTTTCATCAAAATCATTAAATCCGGAATTGATATTGACGCAAATTTGTTGTCGTCCATTCTTGGAGTTTTTGGTAGTGATACACTTTTAAATCTTGGAAAACAAGTTCACTCACTTATAATTAAGAAAGGCTTCTTGACCAATCCTTTCATTGGAAACGGATTAATTAACATGTACTCCAAGTGTGGTGAATTGCATGAATCTGTCATAGTTTTTGATCAGATGCATCTAAGGAATCCGGTTTCATGGAATTCTTTGATTGCAGCTTTTGCCCGACACGGTAATGGTTTTAGAGCACTTGATTTATATGAGGAAATGATATCTGCTGGTGTTGAGCCAACTGATGTCACATTTCTCTCTTTGCTTCATGCTTGTAGCCATGTAGGTTTAGTGGAGAAAGGAATGGAGTTCTTCAAGTCCATGCAAACAGTGTATGGAATGATCCCCAGGATGGAACACTATGCGTCTGTCGTTGACATGCTCGGAAGGTCAGGTCTTCTGAATGAAGCAAAATGCTTCATTGAGCGGCTACCAACAAAGCCTGATGTACAAGTTTGGCAGGCACTACTTGGTGCTTGTAGTTTTCATGGAAATACTGATATCGGAATGCATGCTGCCCAGCAGTGGCTTTTGGCTTCACCTGATGATACTCCAATTCCATATGTTTTGCTGGCTAATATACATTCCTCCAAAAAACAATGGAAGGAGAGGGCAACAATTATAAAGAAAATGAAAGAAACTAGGATATCAAAAGAGACCGGGATAAGTTGGATTGAAATTGCAAAGAAAGTTCACAACTTTGTAGTTTGCGATCAGATGCACCCACAATGCAAAACTATTTATAGAGCCTTGTTGGAGTTATATAGACACATGGGTGATGAAGGGCAGGTGCTCAATAAGAAGCCATTGTCTCATATGGATTGTGATGAATATGAAATGTCAAGGATTTTCAATGTTTCAAACTAATCACAAGCCATTTGAAATGATACTCAAGCTCTACAATGAGCAATTTTCTGAAGATTTTCTTGCAAAAAGGTACTGCTTTGTTAGTTGTGGATCTGAGTCTTTAAATTGGAGGGAGTTGCCGAGTTGGTTCCCTGGGGAGCACATACAAGCCGTTGCAGAAATAAATGTGTGGATATTGAAACTTGTTTGGGCATCAAGATCTTTCACTATCACAGTCGATGTATATCTGATGAAAAGAAATGTGAAACCTGGCCAAAGTTAACTTTGGGAACTTCTCACTCATTCTGTAAACTGACCAAAGCTCTGTGCTGCAGAGCTCTTTTTTTTGTCACTCAGTTGCTCCTATCAGAAGCATCAATTAATTAAGTGGTTTGTACATAGTAGGGTTCCTTATGTCCAATTTATCAAAGTATTCATTGGAAATGGTGAAACCAGATATGGCAAAAAAATCCGGGTGTTCAAATCATGTATTAGCTTTTAATCGCTATGATACTTGAGATTTGACATAGCACTTCACCAGTTACCAGACTTTAGCAAGGGTTCTCAAGTATAGATTTAAGAAAAATAATCTTCGAAATGACTTTGCAGGACATCTGGTCTAGATAAACTTCCAATTTGTGGATGAGACATATACTTTGTTTTGTTTATTAGTCTATATATGTGCATTATCCTGATCATATGGAAGTGTTAGAAATCCATTTGGTCGGGCAGGTATGATATATTTAAGCTTGGGTTTGGAAAGGGAGGGGAGTGGACTGGTCGAGTATATGGAGGAGGATGAAGGGTTGATTTTTAAGATGGTTTAAAGGCATAAGAATAGGGGAGAAAAAGGGGGATACTGGTTGTGCTTTTTAGGAGGGCCGAAAATTTGGAAGGGAAAATAAGAGGGGAAAAGGGATAAAAACCAAGTAGGTTTTAAGAGATATAACACACTCTTATCCTCACTTGGGGTTTGAGTCTAGAATTTAATTAAGATATTACACACTCAATTAAATAACTAGAACCTAACACTCACACTTAAGGAAACCAACCTTAAGATATAGAAATTAGGATTTGAAAACAGAATACAACCAGTGTATTTCTATCTTGAAATGAAGAATAAAAATCTGAGCATTACAATAGGCCTATGGCCGAAATTTAAAGGCACTCATACAAAGGAAAATACTAAGCTATTTCTTCCACAAATCCTAGAAAATGCAGTCATGTGCTTGAGTCCTTTCATGGAATAAAATCAGGGAAAATGGGGACAGGGATTCATGAATGAATATTCATGAATGGAAGGGGGTTTTCGGCCATATTA